CTAGCAAACTAATTCTAAACACCTCAGTCTTAGAGATGTTAGTCTCTATCCTGAATGTATGTCTTTAAAATGTACATATATATGTCTGTGTGTGTTAGTGTCTGTGTTTCAGTGTCTGTGTATATATATATATATATGTTAATCTTATGCAGATTCACACTAGCAAACTAATTCTAAAGACCTCAGTCTTAGAGATGTTAGTCTCTATCCTGAATGTATGTCTTTAAAAATGTACATATATATGTCTGTGTGTGTTAGTGTCTGTGTTTCAGTGTCTGTGTATATATATATATATATGTTAATCTTATGCAGATTCACACTAGCAAACCAATTCTAAACACCTCAGTCTTAGAGATGTTAGTCTCTTTCCTGAATGTATGTCTTTAAAAATGTACATATATATGTCTGTGTGTGTTAGTATCTGTGTTTCAGTGTCTGTGTATATATATATATATATATATGTTAATCTTATGCAGATTCACACTAGCAAACTAATTCTAAACACCTCAGTCTTAGAGATGTTAGTCTCTATCCTGAATGTATGTCTTTAAAAATGTACATATATATGTCTCTGTGTGTTAGTGTCTGTGTTTCAGTGTCTGTGTATATATATATATATATATATATATATATATATATATATATGTTAATCTTATGCAGATTCACACTAGGAAACTAATTCTAAACACCTCAGTCTTAGAGATTTTAGTCTCTATCCTGAATGTATGTCTTTAAAAATGTACATATATATGTCTGTGTGTGTTAGTGTCTGTGTTTCAGTGTATATATATATATATATATATATATATATATATATATATATATATATATATATATATATATATATATGTTAATCTTATGCAGATTCACACGAGCAAACTAATTCTAAACACCTCAGTCTTAGAGATTTTAGTCTCTATCCTGAATGTATGAATCACAAAACAGTTCATTTTTGATTCTGTTCAAATACTCGTCATGAACAATTTTCCATCTGTTGCTGTTCCAATGTATTTCTCTAGTGCCTCAAATGCAACAACGAATAGCGCGAAATTGGTAAGTAAGAAGCAATGACATTTTGAAAGAGTAGGCCCATCTCTGCTCAAAAATGGTTAAATAGTTCATGTCAATGACACACTTCCGGCATCAAGCCTGCAAAATTTTAGTTCACAAAAATTAATACTGTCGAAGGAATTACACGTAGAGGAGAATTTGAATTTTGCTACAGAGCAAAGTTAGTCAAATCCGTACTGAAATCAAGCCGTTTTGGTCGATTAGATCAATGGTTGCTGCAACCGCGGTCATGACTGCTAAAAATCATTCCTTTTATACGTATTTCTTTCTTTCTTTTTCTTTTGTAAGTTTTTCTTCGTGGAACGGACTGTGGGTGAAAGGGACAGTGGAAAACTATGGGAGTAACAGCAGCTTTCTTTCTCACTTCATGTCTCGTTATTTCTTTATTTTTTATATGCATTTTCTTTCTTTATTCCTTCTTTCTCTCTTTTTTTATTTTTTTTTTATTTTTGTAAAGTTTTCTCCTTGGAATAGACATTGGAAAACGTTAGTATTGACTTCATTTTTCACGCTTCTTTTTTTTTTTTCACCTTCAATTACATTACATTATTCGGACTATTGTCCCATCTTTGTCGCCATATTTATTACAACGTTTCGGCCGTTGTACGCTCCGGCCTTCTTCAGGTGGTTGGAAAGTCCTGAAGAAGGCCGGAGCGTACAACGTCCGAAATGTTGTAATAAATATGGCGACAAAGATGAGGACAATAGTCCGAATAATGTAAACAATTCACATAATACCTCATCTCAGAAATATAGACAGATTCAATTACATTATTTTGTGGTTATCTATGCAAAAATTTAATTTTTTTAAGATATTATCAAAACCGTAGATCAACATTTATTCTGTATTCATATTATAAATACTTCATGAAACAACTTTAAAGTAGTGTAATCCATACTGTGAAACAGGCTTGAAACATGAATTTTAAAGTTGAAAAATATCAAAAAATATCGGTCGTAGTTACATTTCTAAGGAAATGTAGTTACATTTCTAAAGGTAAATTTATTCACACCTTGTTCAGAAAACCCGTTTCATGTATTTCATAATATCCAATTGACATTACTCTATACGACAACCCGTCACGACGTAAATATTCATATTTTTTTCCTTTAGGGGGAATATTGCACTTCGTCATGTCTGCATTTCAAATTACCTTCTCTCTTCTTTGAATCTTTCTTAGCTGACTTCTATTCAAGTTGAAACGTGATAAGACTCCTACTCCTCATTGCTTTTACTTTAGTTATGTTCTTACGGCTCAATACGAATATAACTCCTGTGATTCTACTGTGTCCATACGGTAAAATGTCGAATGTATATACCATTCGTTAATCTCACGACTACCTCAAATATTTTTTTAAATTATAAAATGTTAAAACTTTTTATTTATTTGTATCTTATTCACTGTACTGTACACACACACACACAAACACAGATAGATAGATAGATAGATAGATAGATAGATAGATAGATAGATAGATGATAGATAGATAGATAGATGGACTGACAATCATTCGATAAATTTTTAATTCTAAAAGAAATATTACGTGTGATAATTCTCTTCATTTTGATAGATAATTGCTATGAGACTGTTAACAATCATTCGATAAATTCGGCTGTCTGCCAATAGATAGATAAAAGAAATTAACAAACAGATTTCCAAGATGGAGATAGATTGCTATATTGATAGACAAACACATAGACTGACATTGGATAAATAATATAGATGAACAAACAAACTGACATTAGATAGATAGATAGATAGATAGATAGATTGACAATAGATAGATGACATGATAGATATAGATAGATAGATAAACAGACTGACATTAGATAGATAGATAGATAGATAGATAGATAGATTAGATAGATAGATAGATAGACAAACAGACTGACATTAGATAGATAGATAGATAGATAGATAGATAGACAAACAAACAGACGACATTAGATAGATAGATGACATTAGATAGATAGATAGGATAGATAGATTGCTGACATTAGATATGGATATTGACAGAAACAGATAGACATTGCTATATATATATAGAATAGATAGATAGATAAATAATAGATAGATAGATAGATAGATAGACAAACAGACTGACATTAGATAGATAGATAGATAGATAGATAGATTGACAATAGATAGATAGATAGATAGATAGATAGATAGATAGATAGACAAACAGACTGACATTAGATAGATGGATAGATAGATAGATGAATGGATTGCTATATATATAGATGACATTAGATAGATGGATAGATAGATAGATGAACAAACAGACTGACATTAGATAGATAGATAGATAGATAGACAAACAGACTGACATTAGATAGATGGATAGATAGATTGCTATATTGATAGACAAACAGACTGACATTAGATAGATAGATAGATTGCTATATATATAGACAGACTGACATTAGATAGATAGATAGATAAATAATAGATAGATAGATAGATAGATAGATAGACAAACAGACTGACATTAGATAGATAGATAGATAGAGATAGATAGAGATATATTGATAGATAGATGACATTAGATAGATAGACAATAGATAGATAGATAGATAGATAAATAGATAGATAGATAGATGATAGATGACAATGACTGATAGATAGATAGATAGATAGATAGATAGATAGATAGATTAATTTTATTTGTACATTATTTTATTTAATTATTTACTTATTTTCCTTGTTGGCTTTTTGTTATCTTATTTTTCTTTTTCTTTTAGTTTTAGATTAACGTATTCACTTTGTCAAAATTGTTTCCCATTTGTTGTCGGCACCCGCTATCATCCGAACAAATGGACCGTCACCGCCTCTCCTCATTCCTGTGGGGGAGATGGCTGTGAATCATATAGAGTTTGACGAGGCCATCCACATGGATTTGATTTTCGTAGACATCCCCGCATGACAGAGAATCACCATACTTGGCTAAAATCGCCTCCGTTGTTGTAGCTGGTATATTTCTTTGCATTTTCGTTCTTTTATGTTTTACAAGGAATTCATTTTTAGTCTTTCGAATTTTCCGTAACATCGTTTTCGTTGATATATTTTCAAATGAGTTGTGATCCTTTATTTCCTAATTTGTTTTGGTCTAAGAAGGTTATATATATATATATATATATATATATATATATATATATATATATATATAACTCAAAATAGATTTCACAGTTTTCAGTAGAATGTTCTATGTTTATCATATTTATTATGTATTATGTTTTTTTTGTTTATAAATTCCCATATATGCTTAGAAAGTTTTGTGCTGTTTGCGTATTTACTATTTGTAAAGTATTTATTGTCTGGGAGGTTTCCTTATATTCTACGTCATTCAGTTTTTCCTATGTATGGTTGTTATTCTTTCGTTGCTCCTTTTACAAATTATGTAAACCAATTAGAAACAAATTATAACGCATAACGGCAATTAAGTACATTTCATAATATTTATCCTCAAAATAATTAATGAATGAATATAAAATATAATAAGCACTAAATAACATGTCATGAGGTAAACTTAACATAGCCACACGATCTCTATGATCGCTATAAATCAATAGCATTTATAATTTTTTTAAATGTCACCGACTACCCAATAATAGCAGGCCGGTCAAACCCGAATAGGTCTGCCGTCTAGTGTGGCTAGCCGGTACCTGTTGCAAACGCAAGCTCATAAACATTTGTGTTTGATCAAAAAGAGAAAGTGAATTAGATGGAATATTCCCGTGGCGGAGTTGTTAGACCGTCCGCTTACTGATGAGACCGGGTTCGAATCTTACCATGGTCGATCTGTCGCGAAAGACGCATCCTGAAATTATTGGACTGGGGCAGAGTTCGATGCCAGCGTGAGGCACCTTTAGAAAGTATCGATAGCTGTTCTAGCAAGAAATCACAAGTCATCGTCAGCGTTGAAACTGTAAGTAATCAGCATAGTTGCAGGATAAAACATAGGTGGGCTCAGTGTGCGTTAAACAAACACGAATACGCCCAATGAAGCGTCTGCAATAGGGATTGGCTAGCCGCCCTTTTGGACGGAGATCCACGAATACAAGTGGCCAGCTATATAGACACATACACACTACATGCACACACATATATACATATACATACATCTCACTCTCTCTCTATATATATATTTATTTACACACACACACACACACACACACACACACACACACACACACACACACATATATATATATATATATATATATATATATATATATATATATATATGTATATATATATATATCATAAAATGGACCGACAGTCATTTTGAAGAATTTTTTTTCTCGACATTCAGGCCGGTAAATGTTGCTAATACCATTTATTATGAACTGAGAATTTATTTAAACATCTCTATCTATAAAAAGAACCTATAAACATAAACATGACAATGAAAAGAACGTATAATACACACACACACACACACACACATATATATATATATATATATACATATATATATATATATATATATATATATATATATATATATATATATATATCATGAAATGGACCGACAGTCATTTTTGAAGAATTTTTTTTTTTTTTCTCGGACATTCAGGCCGGTAAATGTTGTTAATACTATTTATTAAAAATTATATTCAAAGATAAGAAACCAAAATAAATATCGTGAAATTATTACAATTGTGCCAAAAGTTACAGTTACTATTAATATTTTATTTATCTTCAAATTCATAAAATTCGTCCTCTTCGTTACCAAAACTCTGATACACATTTTCAGTACTACTCTCATCGTCGTTAAATAATGCGTCATATTCCGTTCCATTTCGAACATTGCCAATGCCACACTTTTAAAAAGATTTTACAATAATTTCTGGTTTAATATGATAAACTTACTACAGCTGTTCGTAGACTTGTGCAGTAATGAGTCTTATTATTCTTCTTGTAAGTGTAAGGTCCTGATCAGGCATTGCCTTCCACATGTTCCATTGCTCCCTCATGTTTAAGTCTAAACTGATGGAAGTTACAAGGTAGCTAATTTCTGACGCTCATCGCGCATTCTAAAACTAAATATGGCGTATAATACGCAAGGGAATTTTAAAAGGTGTTTTTAGTAAAAAATGTTCGTCCTATATGCCGTCAAATAGGGTGTATTTTTGAATTAATATTTATTTTCTTTTCAGTTATTTCAAGTATACTTCAGTAATTTATACGGCATCTATCTTGTATTCTACTTTTGAAATATTCTTCCCCTTTTCTTTGTCTCATGTCTTTTCAGCAGGAACGCTTCTCCAGAGATACAACAATACTTACATTTTCATAACTAATCATTTTTTCATTGTTCTTGATACCACAAGCAATATGATAAAATGATTAAAAGATTTCACTTATTTTTGCAAAAGTTGCCGATGGAACATCATCTAAATATACGCCATGCAGTTCCCTTTCACTATGGTAAATCTTTGTTTTCATTCATGTATTGTCAGTTAGTTTTTTTTCCTTATAGCTTCAAACGTAACAGAATATGTATACGTTAATATCAGTAGATAAATTTATATGATATTGCATAGGGGAATCTTACTTATTACATCGAAAGTTATGTGTAGATATAAAAAAAACAGGTTAAGCAACATTTCAGAAATACGAGAAAAATGAAAAAAATATTTCGATATTATTGCCTTTTGCAACAATATGCATATACATATTTGTGGTAACTACAGACAGACACAAACGCACAAACACACACACATATACATACAAACGTATATAGAGGAACTTCTATGTGTGTCTATCAAAATGTTATCTCTGAGCGAATGGGCGCTAATTTTATCTCAACAGGGGGAAAAAATACTGTCCCGGAGTAAATTAGCTCTCATGAAAATTTTAAATTCAATTTTAAGCTATAATCCCTTCAGCCAAAATAAATTCAGTAGGATTAATAAAAAAATACTTTATCATTTTCCTATATTTTGCATTTGTAGATATGAATTCATGTATCGAAATATATATATATATATATATATATATATATATATATATATATAAACACACACACACACACACACACACATATATATATATATATATATATATATATATATATATATATGAAATTTGAGCATATGATTAAAAATATAATGTAAAGCATACACACAAGCTGGAATAACCTGTATATACATACATAACTCTCTCAAACACACGTATATATATATATATATATATATATATATATATATATATATATATATATTTATATATATATATATATATATATATATATATATAGAGAGAGAGAGAGAGAAACAGACAGAAAAAATATATCGAGAGAGAGTGAAAAGATCAAGAGAGATAATCGGCAATGAGTTTATATATAATATATATATATATATATATATATATATATATATATATACACACACACACACACACACACATATATATATATATATATATATATATATATATATATATATACTTGTTGTCGATTATATCTCTCAAAATTTTCACAGTGATACACGTATATATATATATATATATATATATATATATATATATATATATATATATATATATGAAGGTGAAAATTTGAGTCAACACTCAGAGCCGACAGGTTGTTTCATGCTATACGCAATCATCATGCCGCGAATGTTGGATTTTACCGTAGCTAATTATATATACAGGTCAGTGTTGCATTGTGGGCAATCTATTCTGGCGGTGATTTATGCGCACTTGACTTGTATGTTATTTATTTATATATTTGTTTGGGTTATTTTATTTTACTTGTTTTTCATTTTCATTTTGTCTTATACATTCCTTCGTTTTTGATATTTTATTAACGTAGTAAAACATTGGTTGGGGTTTCGCTTAGGTTGGTTATATAATAGTTTGTTTTGTTCGTGGAATATAATTAAAGCTCTTTATTCATGCAATGTTTAGATTTCTTGCAGTAGTCTATTCTGTTATTTGACGGGGAACAGTTTTTAATTTATGCATTATTTATTTGGATTGATTATTTTTACTTGTTTTTTGCTTTTTTATTTCTATTTTCATTTGTTCAAACGTTTATTTTACCGGGTGCGATTTGTTAATTTCCTCATATATTTATTTATTTGGATAATGTTTTAATTTATTTATTTACTTATTTTTTTTTATTTTGTATATTTTTATTTACTCTATTTGGTTTTCGAATTTTGAGTTACACAGTATTTTTTTATCGTTATTTAGCAGTTTTAGCCATTTTACGCCCACTTTTTGGATTGTTTATTGAATTTTATTCTAACGCTTATTCTGGCGGGATTGGTTTGCTAACTTGTTTATTATTATTTACTTTACTTATTTATTTATTTCGGTTGATTATTCTGACATGTTATTTATATAAATTATTTACATTTTTTATTCATGCTATTTCGTCTATTCTAACGGGAGTGGTTTGTAAATGTGTTTATTATTTGTTTGGGTTAATATATTTTAATTGATTTTTTATATTATTATGTTTATTTGCATTTATTCATTTCAGTTTTCGAATTTAAGTAACGTAGAAAAAATTGTCTCCATGTCTGCAATTTTATTTGAGATCAGATCGTTTATTTAGTAATTTATTTTGGTCAGGTAAGGTAATAATGGCTATTTTTCCCCCGAGAAAAGTGTGAAAGTGTTTCATTGATTGTTGTAGGCTGATGCTCTTTTCCATGAGATGTTTAGAGTGATTTGTGTTTTGTTTTAAATTTCCCAGATATACTTGGAAAGTATTGTACTCTTCGCCTATTTACTATTTGTGAAAGACGTCTTGTGTGCATAGTTTCTTTGTTTTCAGGGTCCATTAGTTATAGCTATATATACTTTTTCTTCATTATCTGCATTTTTTTCTCGAGGCTTTGTATGTTACGTTGTTTTGTAAGGATTTACCATTTAAGGGACGTTAATGCTTTATTCTACGGTTCCACGTGGGTTTAATTTGTTCGGGTGCAACTGTAGCGCGTATCTACTGTGTTTTATTGCATATTTTGTGTAGAGTGCTTGAATCAGAGAATTGTTTGATTATGGTTTGAAGAATATTTTACATACGTTCGTTTTTAAGTTTTTCCTGCACAGTGGGTGGAACCGTATGATGTTAAAATATGGGGAGGGAGATAACTGAACAGTATTAAATCAAATATGGCTTGGACATAAGGTAAGCCGTACATTCACTCACCATCATGAGGAAGAAAGCAGACAACCACTTGCTGGCCCGTGTAATAAATAAGAAAAAAATTACTGTAACTTCATTCGGATAAAGCTTCATGCTGTACGAATATCTTCACACACACATACCCACACAAACATTTTTTTAAGCATTTCACCCCAAGCAAGGCGGGAAGCCACTAGGACGCAAGGGGTTGCAGAAAATTTAGAGCAAGATCACATAGGAGTGATAGAAGAAAGGATGAGGCTAGTGGATAGATCAAGGCAACTGGAGATGTCGATTGACATTACATTTCAATAGCTGGAGATTATAGCTCACAGGGAAACAGGAAAAGGGAAGGGAGTCCCACAGGCGAGAAGTGCGAGACATGAAGCTATTAGAGTAGAAGAGACGGCTACATTTAGGAGTTTCGAGAATGAAGGGGTGAGAGCGGGATGCCAGCCTCGTAAGGCGCTGGAAGTCATGACATCTGGGAACCAGCGAATGCAGCTCCCCGGAGCAATTTCCATGAAAGTATTTGTGGAACAGACAGAAGGAGGCGACGGCCCGTCTGTGAGAAAGTGACTGTAGACGAGACGCCAGGGCAGGACCAACCACATTGCATATCCGCCTCTGGAGCCTATCAAGAACCCCGAGGCAAACAGAAGGGGCACCAGACCATATATGGCAGCAATACTCCATGCAAGGGCGAATTGTTGATTTGTAGATCTGGAGGATCGACTCCGGGGAGAAAAACCTCCTGGCGCGGCTCAGGGAGCCAACTTTCCTTGCAGTGGACGAGGCAATTTACTCAATGTATTTATTCCATCTCAGGTCAGCAGTCAACGTGAGACCGAGAAGCCGCAGAGAGTTGCTCTCGAGAAGTTGAGCGTCAGACATTCTAATGGCGGGAAGGGAAGGCTCTCTGTGGTGATTAATAGAGAGCAGTTTTGTCAGAAGCGTTGAAATTGACCAGCCAATTTGAAAAAACAAGAAAACTGTAAATGGGTTTCTGCTAGAGCGAAACTATACTCACACGGGCCAGCAAGTGGTTGCCTGCTTTCTTCCTCATGATGGTGACTGAATGTACGGCTTACCTTATATCCAAGCGTCGTCCTAGTAGTTGTGGTCAACGGCCAATCCTCCGCCCTCACCAAATAGTGGGCTTGGGAGATATGCTTTCAATAAGATTTCGAACAGGAGAAAGAAACGGCTAGAACAATTCCAAGTTCAGACAATATATCAAGCAAAAAGATACTTACACAACATCATTAGAATTCTTGACGGGACACCTTCGCATCTAGCCAAAGACATTTAATTTTCCATTTTTCCTGTTTTTTTTTGGGGGGGGGGGTTTACATTCAAACCGGGATTTCTTAGTAAACTATCAAATAAGGGTGAATCATTGGGATAATATGTCTTTGAGTCGGGGAAGAGAAAAAATAGATAAATTTAAAAACGGAAAAAAAAAAAAATAAAACAAAGAAAAATGTAAATGTGTTTCTGCTAGAGTGAAACTATATTCACACGGGCCAGCAAGTGGTTGGCTGCTTTCTTCCTCATGATGGTGACTGAATGTACGGCTTACCTTATGTCCAAGCGTCGACCAGGTGGGGGGATCAACGGCCAATCCACCGCGCCCTCATCAATGACTGGGCTTGGGAGATATGCTTTCAATAAGATTTAGAACAGGAGATAGAAAAACATATATATATATATATATATATATATATATATATATATATATATATATATATATATATCAGGACAAATTGAAATCTTTTAACAATACAAAAAGTTTCACGTTTATTAAAGTTTCATCAGAGAATCAGATATGATGATGCTTTAACAAAGTCAGCCATCTTAGTTTGATTAACCTTTTGTATTTGTTCTCTCGGATCCTCATCCATACTTGATATGTATTTGATCCCAATTCATATATATATATATATATATATATATATATATATATATATATATATATATATGTTTATTTATGTAAACTAAACTATCACATGGACAACTCATGTTGATATTAATGGTAATGTGAAACATTTCCTAAGAAGCAAGTTTCCAGCATTCATTGCTCAAGAGACCATTGCTACTTTCGGACTGAATTTCATAAATTTTCTCCCAGAAACCAATTGATCTATTGTCAACCCTGAGTGTTGATGATGGTGTCTTTCATAATTTTTCGGAACGTCGGCATTGTGAGTACATGCTCATTTCTCTTTAAACTACCTGGGATTATTCATTTACCTGGTGTCTCATTTTTGTTGAGAGACCGTAACATACCTACAACATGGACTTTTTCAGGACTATATAAAGTATGCGATATAACACTCTAGGAGAAGAAGAGGAAAGAGAGAGAGAGTATTCTACTCAGCCGCGTACGACTAACAATATTGGACACTAGCACATAGTAAGCTCCGCTTACACTTACCCTATATGTGTTTTCCTTCCGTGGTCCCA